AATACTGTTCTCTACTCCGTCGCGTCAAAATCGAAGTCAAAATTACGTGAAGACCGACGGTCAGTCTGCCAGTCTGTCTTGGAATAAAGCACCCATCTGGGGCTTTAAGACCAGATCTCTATTGCTTGTTGATGTGGGGCGCTCTCGCTGACGAGAGGAGTCCGCGTGCGCCTTATATAAAGGACCTGGCCTCGAGCGGAAGATTGATTGAAGTATTGAGTATTGGAGTATTGAATATAGAGCACTGAGAACGAGACAATCTTGGGATAGCCACCGCCGGAGACAGTTGAGATCCAACCACGGCCAATGATAGTTGAGACGTCTCATTGGAGTATTGGGCCAGAAGTCAAGTGATATTGCAAGTGGTGATAATTGTAAGGTGGGTAAGTGTGAGTGTCCAATAAAGATTCGCTAAATCCGAGACTCTAGTGAAGTTAACTGTCGCGGAACATACCCAACACGTGACAACTGGTGTCAGAAGTTGGATCAGTTCGGATTAATGGGCTCGAACTTAAACACAAAAATAACGCACAAAAAAATGGATTCCCAACAAATAATGGAATTCCTGCTAGCCATGCAAACAAAGGCCGACGCAAGACACGAAGAAGTGAGAAGCAACCAAGCTAACACGGACGCCGCTTTGCGGGTCATGCAAGAAAAGGCGGAGATCGGCCACAAAGAACTACTGGTCAAACTGGAGGCTGACAAACAGGCCAATATGAGAGTATGGCGAGAAGAGATGGCGATAATGAGAGACAAAAATGTGAACGACAACTACAATGAGACGTTACCCTGCCAAGAGATGGAGGCACGTCCAGAACAAGAACAGCCCACCTCAGTGGACATGAAACCTGAGGCGGCAGAACGAGAAGAGGTCCCCGCAGAAGACGCCACGATAATGCCGGTCGGAGAAATGAAGAAGAAAAGGTGTAGGGACCGAAAACTGGCCGCGGAGCGCCGCGGCCAGAAACCGAAAAATTCAACATGGGAAAATTGTAAACCCCAGAAGAAATTGGCCGTCGCCCACAGAGGGACGAGCCACCGTGCAACAGTGGCACGGCAAGAGGAGAACAGAAGCGACATAAGGATGACCCGTCGCGCAACAGTGGCACGGCAAAAGGAGAAGAGAAGCGACATTAAGATTTCCCGTCGCGCAACAATGGCACGGCAAGAGGAGAAGAGAAGCGACATTAAGATGTCCCGTCGTGCAACAGTGGCAAGACAAGAGAAGAGAAGCGACATAAGGATGTCCCGTCGCGCAACAGTGGCACGGCAAGAGGAGAAGAGAAGCGGCATTAGGATGTCCCGTCGCGCAACAGTGGCACGACGCATGAGAGACATCCTCGGGCCGGACACGACCCACTTTGAAAAAGTGGCACGGCGGAAGGAAAAGGTTGTTTGGAGAAACTGCACCATGGCCGTGACTAAGCGAGCAGGCTCAGTACAGTAGATCATGCCCTATCATTAGTAGCTCCTCCTACAACAGCAGCCTAGTCACTTGAACGGTCATATGCTTGACCGCCACCGTGTTTAAGCCTCCTATATTTCCTGTGTCGGGGTTCGCCTTGTCCAATGTTGCGAACATTTGCATTTTCATGATTTTGTATGCTTTCTGCTTGTTGCTCCGTCGCGTCCTCGGACAGTGCCCTTTTATATCCCCCCCGGCACGGACGCTGCGGAAAACATTGGCTTCTATTGTTAAAAATGCTTATTTACTGGTCCGTTACCTAGCAATGGATGTCCTTCCATTGTCGCGTGCGTTTGTGTTGCGGGACTGTGCTTACCAATCCGTTGTCTATATATATTACAATATCTTCTGTTTCGAAATTTGAAGGTGTATGATCGTCATTACATGATCACGTGCACAGTAAGTACAGGTTTTCTAAATACGTATTATCCCGAAGTTAACCTGCTGTCACGTTTTCGCTAGCGTCGGCCCACAGGTCGACAATGACATACGGACTAACAGTGAAAAACCTTGGATTTGTTTATTCGATAAACTTGTCTTCTGCATACAACTCTTTACCTTACTCTCTGTCTTTGCGGAGCCTTGCGCCCCCACCGCTGTTTCTAACCGGCTTTCCGTGCGATTGATTGAGCTGCCTCGGGGGTGGGTGGTGTGGCGGCTGCCGCAAGGGAAGGCAGAGTCGCGTGCCGGAGTCAGCTGATGAATGCGTCATCACACGACTTATAGCTCTTCAATTAAACGAACACTCCGCGCAAGAGTGGCTCTTGCTCCCAACATTTTACACACTTTTTCTTTATCTGCGCGATTTTATAACAGACTGTATAAGAAGGTAAAGCTGCCCTGTGCTTAATTAATTAAATATCACTCCATGAAGATGTGCTGGGGAGTGGATGTAAGTGGATACAAAATTTTGATCGGAACTCATGTAAGAAGACTACAATAGGAAAAGTTGGTATAGATGGGAAGATGATGATATTAAAAATGTGGAAATTCGGACTGGATTCATCTGCATCAGCATAGATCCAGTAGCGGGGTCTTGTTTGCTCGACAGTGAACACTTTGGTTCCTTAAACGAAGGATAATTTCTTGATTAGCTGAATAATTATCAGTTTCTAAGAAATAATTCCTTTCTAAAGACCTAATTGCCGATCAGTGGCCTCGTTGTCTAAGGCATGAAATGTCTTCGCCCGCTCGGACGCTGGGATCGTGAGTTTGAACCCCACTCGAAGCGTGGATGTCTGTGTGTGGGATTATTATGTGTCTGTGTTGTCCTGTGTGTAGGTAGCGACCTTGCGACGGGCTGATCCCCCGTCCAAGGAGTCCTACCGTCTGTGTAACAAAGGATAAAGAAACTGAAGAAGAGGCCTGGGCCCAACCAAGGTCTGTAGAGACATTAATCAATGAATGAATGAAAGACTTAACTACTCCAGAAAGTGTATGTATATATGTGTCAGCAACTGAAGCATTATTTTCTAACAGTAATGCAATCGGAGGCTGAAACGTTTTCCTGCATTTGTTGACGAGTGAGGAATGGCAGGTTATGTATTTGTTCAGCATGAGACCTAATGTAACTCGAGTTGACTCTTCTACAATTGTTCAAACTGTTTTCATTGCGTAAGCACTGTCTGTATTCTATTTGTATGCCGTATTGCTAATTGAGGGTGAGTAATCACAGAATTTTGCCAACTTTGGATTTGTTGTTTGGCGTCATTTTTTCACCTACATAATTCCATCATGACGCACAAAAAGCCTGCACAGATTAACTCTTTGTCAATTACGCACTTTTATTGCAAGTTATGCGTATGTCATATCTGACTACTTGTAAACAGGAAAATATCGTAGCCCGTTATGACTACAGCAATCTCGATAGACATGTGAATGGAAAAACATGGCCTCCTTCGACGGCATTAGAATGAAGTTGAGATAGTACATTTATCTTCATATGAAAACTGAAATTCTGAGAGATCAGTTAAGATATCTCAATTTGTTTTGTGTCAGATTATTCAATGTCTTTGTGTCTCGTTTTCTCTGCTCTTGAATAACCGTTCCATTTCTCGCTATGTTTTGGGAGTGTGTTTGTTAGCATATTTCCTTTACAACGAAACATCAACAAGCACAACGTACGAAACTTTCGAAGATGTTCTGCAAGTGAAAGCCTACTTTGTGCCCTATAGCAGGACACCAGATTTCCCAGCATATTGACCAAAACTTTGTGGTGATTATTGTTTTGGGAATGAGACGCCGTGTTGTTCTTTATGGTTACAATTAAACCTGCAAACGTAAAAATATCCTCCAGATTATACGGCGTCATATCATATAAGATATAATGTTTATAGTCATTAAAAGTTGTTCCTGTGCTTGACTAATTAAGCACTACGCCATGAAGACGTATGGGGGAGAGGATGTATAGAGCCACCTTTTCTTGACCTAGGCACTAGTTGGAGATGAGAGGTCAGCTTCAAGCCACGGTCGCTTTACCCCTGAGGAAACAGCCCCCGGTATCCATTGGATACCAGGCTAGGTGGGCCCGAGAGCCGGACTGGAAGACGTGGAGAAGAGCAAAATTTTGACCCTACCGGGACTCGAGCTCCGATCTCTCCGTCGTCCAACCCGTAGCCAGTCGCTATACCGACTGAGCTATATCAGTCAGCACAGTCTTACGAATTACTGTGATTTCAGCAGATAATTCTGAGACAGTGTCTATGTAATACAGATGTCTGTAACCCCCCCCCCCCCCCCCCCCGCCCCCCCACCTCCAACTAACTACGAAAAAAATGCAACCATCATCGCTCTANGGTTCAAATTCTATCGAAATTGAACTGAAATGTACCTGTTTCCCAGCTTTCGTCACGAAAATAAGCACCCGATTTCAAAGCATAATAATAAAACAGTACAGTCTCCTTTCTCGCGTACTTTTTGGACTACGGCCCACGACTGTGGAACTCCTTGTGTCTCGACAGAGAGCGCTCGTATTCCGGCGTGAGAGATTCTTCAGGCGTGTTAAAACATGACAGATGTCTGCATACTCGTCTTCGATCATTGTATACCACGCGTTTCTCTTACTCCCCCCCTACCAACGCGATAGAATTCTCCCTGCCTGAACCAAAACCCACCCCTTTTATTTGCTACCCTTCTCTACACTTGTCAGTCTACCACGTGAGTCGATTCACCCTCCCGCGCGCTACACCCTTTCCTAGTTCCACTCGGCCCCCTTTCACCGCTACCATCACTTCAATACTCCGCAACGAATAACGACTCCCCCTCCAACCCCCGTTTCCCCGCCACTCAACACTGAAATCCGCGCGTACCGTTTAAAGTCCTTCGGGGTGATCCAGCAGCGAAGTTGTTGAAGGGGAAGCTTGGAGTGAGGGATGGATCGAGGGGGGGGGAGGAATAGCGAGCGCATAATTCAATGTGGTGGAGGGGCAGGGGCAGGTGGGGGGGTCGTCTGCGCAGATTGCCTCGATCTTCTCTCGGCAGTAGCAACGATTATGATCTCATTTGGGAGGAGGAGGGTGAGGAGACGGCTGGAACGTCACGGCGCGAAGCGTCGTGGGCTCCAATTGTTACGTGGTCGCGGGCGCTGCACTACTCGACGCAGGTCTCAGCGGACTAGACAGGTATGTGTGGACAAGGGCAACTGGAACAGGTGGCTCATGTACCACGTGCTCTTCACAGTGACCTCTAGCGAGAACTTTTGGTGACTGAGTTTAGGTTTTGGGGACGTTTTCCTTCTGTCACTTAATAGTACTCGGATGTTGGTTCAGCCCTCGCAACACTTGTTTGATAGCAGACAGATCTACGTGCAGTTGGGCTCTGAACTGAAACCAGCACGTGACGTCATCTTCAGATATTTCATTAGGCTGACACGATCGTGAATATGACATTGTCACTTAGAGACTAAGTGAGCCGGGATAGCGTAGTCGGTATAGCGACTGGATACTGGCTGGGCGACCGAAGGGTCGGAGTTCGAGTCCTGGTAGGGTCAAGCATTTTCTTTTTTCTACACGTCGTCCAGACCAGCTCTGGGGTCCACCCAACCACCTATTCGTGGGGACCGACGGCTCTTTCCCCGGGAGTAAAGTGGCCGAGGCGTGATGCTGACCACTCACCTCCAAGCAGTGCCGAGTTCAAGAAAACGTGGGACTATACATGCCTTCCCCTACACGCCTTCATGGCGTAGTTCTTACTTAGTTAAGTACAGGGACAACTTTACCTTTACCTTTACCTTGGAGACTAAGGGGCCGGGGCCTATTTTCAGATCATATAATTACTTTTAAACAGTAACTGAGGGAAACTGGTGTAAGCATGAACTATGGTCCGCGCCATAGCTCTTGCGGTTAGTCACTGGCTTCCCACCGCGGCTGCCCGGGTTCGATCCCGGGTGTGAGATTTGTGGTGGACAAAGTGGCTCTGGGGCAGGTTTTCTCCAAGTACTTCGGTTTCCCCTGACAATCTTCATTCCACCAATTGCTCCACAATCACCCTCACCTATCATCTGGGGCTGGTACAACAGGCCAGAAGTGACCGCAGTACAAGGGACTTAGTCCCACCCCACTAGCAATAAAAAAAAAGCATGAGCTATTCGGACTCTGAACTCAATTCAGGATATTCTTTAGAAATGTCTGCTGTACTGCACGGAAATCCTGATTATAATTTCTCAATATTCATTCTGACATTGTTGTTTATAAATCAGAAAGCAGAAATGTATGAAACTTACCAAATGTCAGGTCGCTGTAGTGTATTTAAATCACTGTTAATTTTTTTAAAGATCTTGATAAAATGTTACAGAATTTAATCGAGTATACGATAACCCCACGAACTAACAATGTGAGATGATTAACTTCTCATTTTGAATTTCCATTTTGTATATAAGAGTAGCTGTTGTTTGTTTTAAACAGATTGGCGCTTGCAACTTTGGTGCATAAAGTAATATTTCTCTTAAAGTTGTTATTCTTTGTTCTTCAAATTCACATACATTCAATGTGGAGACCTTCAAAGTCAATATATTGGAAGTAATGTAGCAATTGAGCCGTTGCAAATTGTGACTCGCGGAAACCGCCATTCTGCGATGCAGTGCGACGTCAGAGCGCTGCAGCACAGATCGCCTTCCTCGACTGTCGGGTCCTCATCACAAAACGCGACATAACCAAATATTCAACGTCGAAATGATGTGGGCGATATCTAGGCTTTAATTTCGGAAGACGTGAAATTTTGAAAATCAATAAATTCTTATGCATGATAAATTTACAAATCAGTTATGCTGCTTTGTTTTCTTCGTCGCCAAATTTGTTTAGGAAAGACGCCTTTTCTATATTATTCCAGATATTTAAGGAGGTGAAAGAGTTCACAACCTGTAACCTATCTAGTTTTTAGTTTCTTGAGGTAGGGTGAGACTAAGTCCACTTGGTACGTCGGCCACTAATTGGCCTATTTTACCAGCCCCGGATGATAGATGATGAATGTGGAGTAGTGGGGGGAATGAAAATTTATAGGGGAAACATAAGTGCTCGGAGAAAACCTATCCCTGTCCCAATTTTTCCACCACAAATCCCACATGACCTGCCCTAGGCTCGAATCCGAGTCGCCGCAGTGGGAAGCCTGTGACTAACCGCCTGAGCTACGGCAGGGCCAACCTAACCTATCTACAGTCTGTAAGTCTGGTTTTTTAATGAATAACACCCGTTTGACAGCTTAAGGTCTATTCATACTTTACGTAAGCATACGAACAGGAAACTGACCAGCAACGGACCGACAAACGTTCTGAAGCACGTTATTCGTGAGAGAAACTGACCGCCACTAAGGGGCACAGGCCTGCAAAATGCGGAGTGTCTGCACTTGTCGGTGCCTGTTGCTGCAGGAGAGTGTGATCATGTGATCAATCTGCCTTAAGCATAACATCATTCTTCGAAAAAGAAATGACAGAGTGGACGACAAAATTATTCTTCTTTGCATAGCACCGAGAACTCTTACGTGATATTAGCCACAAGAGCTTTAGCGGTGGTGTGAAGAAGCTTCGTATTAGGGCATAATGGAATAGTTTCTGCCGGTTTCTTTTGCTTCTTAATTTTCAGTACATTAATGATAATTTTTGATGCACTATTATTAGTGTAAAACATAATCTACGGTCGAACAACCCAGGCCTATCGCCAATTAGTACTCGTAAAAAGTCATCCCAGCTGCTCTCGAGTTGAGAGATAAGGAAACATAAGAATTCATTTTGTTTAATTATCCCGGAGAAGGCAAGCATGCAAACGTGTTGGACATGAAATGTTAATTGTTTTCTGCAACTCTTGTCGAAGCACCATTCTTCCCATTAAATACGTGCATTTAGTGGGTTACTTTCAAGATGCACTCAGAAAACAGTTGTTAATGCAATGATCTGTTACTTTTTCTGGTTTAAACCAAAGAAACAGGAATATTCCGATATTTTGTAAAGTTATATAATATTAAATTAAAGGAAATTCTTTTCTGCAGTTTTGGAACTGTTACATATGGAGAGACACCTAGAAACAGCGAAGATAAACTGCGCATTCTTTGCGCATCTTCCCGTGTTATATCTTGAAAACACATCACCATTTTTTCCGAGGTGATATCAGACTTCATTTTTGGTCCCTTTCTGACCCTTTTGAAACTTTCATTTTTTCTTGTCTCAATTCTTTTTCAAACATGTTCAACTTCATATAGTTATACAAGAATAAAATCTCAGGTTTTAAGCAAGACGCAGATGTTTATTTCATGACCTTCTTATAAGCTAACTGCAGTTCATAATTATTTATATTAATATTTCCTTCAGCAAAGTTTCCGTCTAGTGAGAACTTCCAAAATCTTTAGTAACAAAAAGTTAAACTGATATATGCTTTGTCATTCAGAAGCAGCTATGAATGCGGCCTCGTCGGCAATTCTTTGTACAGAGCAAAATGCTCCCCTTTCCTGTCCCTTTTCAAGTAAAGAAATTATTAATTCAACACATCTGCACTTTCCGTGTCGTTTCTTGCTGCCTTCATCAAATGACAATGCCGTGATAACTAAACGATTATAAGGATGTTATTTAATAGTCACGGCTAGCAACGGATTCGCAGACGGACGTGTAGGTAGGTCACAGAACATAACCTACTGCAATAGCCTCGTGCAGATCCGTTGTCTGCGAAGTCCATGCGAATACTGAGCAAACTGTCGGTCCGCTGATGTACCGTTACCGGTCTGAACCGTTTCGTATAGAGGGACGGGCCCTACATCAGGACATTCTCTAAATTCTTACGCCGATTGGTCGGACAAGTTAAAAGTGTGTGATAATCAACGGAAGAAGAAACAGTGCTGCAGACAACAGTTTAGTAGAAAAATCAGGAACGATTCAACCCGTCAAATATATATAATTCATGCATAAACGAGATATAATATATGAAACAAGGTAGCGAAGACAAGAAAACGGTATAACAGTATAAGAGACAACAAGACATTACCTAGGAACAATTCAACACAAGTTATTAAGTATTGATATATACGATAGGGCGTCGTTTTGGTAATGTAATATGAGATTAACACGTACTAAAATCGTATCTTACATAATTACACGTACCAATCTTATTAAGATTGACACCATATTAATACAACCAAAATGTATAACTCAGTTTACCTGTGCAAATAACGATAAAAATCAAATCAAATTAAATTATTTTATAAATAATTTTACAACAAAATTTTAATATGGATCCGTAGTAATTATAATTATAATTCAGTATTTTATACCTTCAAATAATATATAGCCTGATGAAGGCTCCAAGTGAGCCGAAACCTGTAGCGTAATTTTATTTGTGTTGATGGCTATATACGAGTATAATGTAACGTGGATGGCGCAACAGGAAATAGGGGTCACGTGAACTCTGCCTTTCCGCGAGTGACGTCACATATCCCCACTCCTTCCATTACTACGCAACGCTCGGTAAACACCCCTCCCCTCTAGGGATAACAATAAAACAAAAGTAACATAAAAAAGTTAAACAGTTCCGTCCAGTGTGAATGATTAAGATTTTTTTTTCTGATTTCGGTTATTCATGCCGTTATATGTTTCGGTCTTCAGAGACCATCTTCAGAGGGACACCTTTACATCAATACTGTTAGAAGCCACCATTACAGTACATGCTCTAAAAGTTAAAATATATATATATATATACACGTAGAATATAAATAATACACAATTGGGTGTAAAATCTAAAGTCTTTACAACTACAGCTGTTGTTCCAATACATTAAATTATTTATTGTTAGTTTGATAAGATTCTATTGTAATTCGCAAACCAAGCAGGTTCGTGTCATTCCTCTTATTATTTCTTTTAACGGGGGCCGAATCTGTGCCTCCTTGTCCTTCTGGAGAAGAGAGTTCCTTAATGTTGTCCTCTATGTGTTTGTGGCGCGCTGTGTTGTAAGGCTATCCCTGTAAGAGTCTGTGAAAGCACATAGGGTTGTGAGACGTCGAGGGTCCCACATTATCTAGATAATCGGCTCGAAGATGGCGGTAAGGTTGTCAGCCTTACGCGCCGGCCGCCCTTTACTCCCAAGGAAAAGTATTTAATTAATTCCTGGTACTCATTTCTGTTAGAGGCTGAGTCAACCCCAAGGCC